TAAAAAGTTTGCTTTTTTTTAAAAAATACCATTCCCTGAGTAATTTATTCTCTCAAAACGCAGTCCTGATTAAATTTAGTACTTTTTATGCTTTCAGTTTTATTTAAATGTATATTTAAAAACTTGTTTGAGATAATTATTAGAATTTTTCGCAACCCATCATTAAAAACAGACCGGATTTATTTCCGATTAAGCCACTCATTTCATAAAAGTGCTTTTAAATTCCTTAAAATCTACATTCAAAGAACTATCTTTAAAATGATCATTAAAAGGAAAATAATTTATTACACAGTGTTCGAAATATTTTTTTCTGAAGAGCATTTTACATTAAATATTAAAAAGGAATTTTGTGCATAACCTATTTATCAGTCTTTAAGAGATATTAAAATGCCATTATAAGGAAGAAAACCTATAATCTTTAAAAATCTTTACGAACCGCTTTTGAATCTATTCGTGAGGTATCCATTTGTTTGATTCCTTAAAATTTTCTTATTCAAACTCTGAATGAAAGATAACTTTATCCAACTGAGCGAAATGTTCGATTAAATGTAATTTTTTTTCCGTCTCGTCTGGTTTTAGATCTAATGATGTGAAAATGAGATGCATAAATCAAATGAATGATTGCCTGTTATGATTTGCACGAAAACTTATTATTAATGTGACAAACGCTATTTCAAGTATTAAAATACTTTATTTGTTTAAAAAAAAAATTATTTATTATTAAAAATAAAAATCGAAAAATTAAAAATTAAAAGTTAATTGGCATTTTTTTTACGAATAGCTTTTTACATATTTAAAATAATTTTAAAAGATCTGAAAGTATATTATTTCTGAACTGCACTTTTAATTACTGTATTGATGATCAAGTGAGGAATTTCTTTTCTTTTTTAGTTATATTTACAAAAACTTGATCTGTTGAGCAATTATTTTGGAATTGTAGCAATCTGTTTGGAATTGTAGCAAAAGTAGAGAAAAGCCAATAATGCGGATACCTTAACTTAATGATTAACACTAAAGTAATCATGCGTAGGTGTTTTGATTATAAATTCATAGCTCATTAAAAAGAAGAGAATCTAAAATAGTCAAGTTATTTAAGAACTGAGTGTTGTTGTTTTTTAAGTAAGCAGTGAATATTTTATGTGACGGAATAGAAAATATTGAGAAAAATGTGCGGTATTGACTAGTAATATTCGATAATAAAAGACATAATTTTGATAATTTCAATCAAGGAAAAATGTAATTCAGACTAAAATGTTTACAGATGTATAGTTGCCAATGATTAAGGAAACTTTTTCAGTGGTAGAACCATTTTACTGTATGAATCTTGGATTTCAAAAAGACCCAATAATTGTTTTACCAACTATTACAAATCAGTTATTGTTGTCCTCGGCCATTAAGGTAGAGAGGGTGGTATTGTTCTTGCTTTCCAGTACCGCCATTTATGGTCAAGAACTCGACTTCAGCCACACCCATTCATACATCCATTCATTCATCCACAAATCGTAATTTTGACCTGAACAAGAGAACGATCAATTTCCAATTCAGTACTCTCAGAGGTTTTGATTTGTTATGGGAGCATGGAGGACTTTGTGACCCGACAGATTCAACTTGCACCAGTCACCAATCTTTCGCCAGCTGGATGGCAGTCTGTTTTTAAATCAAAATTATAAATATTCTAATATAATTATCAATAAGGAAAATTAGACAATTTTGACATCTAAGATTTATGAGCGTTTCTAAGTTTTAATAAGAGGCATTACCTTTTAATAACTTTGTAATTTAGTACAAGATTTTGTATTTAAATCATGATGTATGCGGAAATTATCTTTAGTTATAATTTATTTTACAGTTCTTAAACTCATTGCAAGAAATAAAGATTGATAAGATAGGAGATATAGCATGTTAAGTGATTTGGAATCAGATCAATGAAAAAAACCATTTCTTAACCAACGGTTATTTAAATGATCTGTTAAAGCATCATGAACTGGCAACCTCAAGTAATTAATTCAAACTCTAACATTTGAAAAGCTCTTTTATTATGTTTTAGAATGAAAAAAAAAAGCTTTATGTTTTTTTCTTCTTATTTGTCTGAAGACAATTTTAAATAGTGGACATTAAATTTTGATAATTCTTTAATACCAATCACGATTTTTGTACTCTAAGTCAAATCACAATGACTTCTTTAGCAACCAACCCTACAGTTCTTAAACTCAACTCTAAGTATAAGGATTAATAAAATAGAAAATATGCAATGTTTTCGTTTGGCACCAGATCAATGGAAAAAAAACTATTTCTTACCAAGCACTTATTCACAGTTTAACAAGATCTGAAGATAGGTAGCACAAGTAGTTAATTCTGACTCTGAAATTCAAGACGATCTCTGATTATGTCTCAGAATAAAAGGCAATGTACAATGAAAGAAAATATCTCATTGTGATGATTATTTCTTCTTAGGAAAATACAAGAAGAAAATGAACTGCTGGGTCTTAAAATCCTTTCCTAGCTACGTAAATACTAGTTATCTCTTAAGTTGAACTAATCATGTGGATGTTTATGGTTAGGTTACTATCTATTGTAGCATAAATAAGATTTAGTTTTACTTAAACGAAGTCCTTCGCTAGATCTTTCCGCTAAAACTCTCAAAATTGCTAATGGTTGAATAATTTTGACATAATTTTATTAACATACGTTTGCTATTTGAGTAATATTTGAAGAAAGAAATACTAAACTCGTTTTGCGTAAATAAAAAACGATGCTTGCTTAAATAAGAAAAGTTGTAGCGGCATTCCAGCCTTTTCAATTTTTTTTAAAAAAAAATAACAATTTTGCATATATTCATATAAAAACTGAGACATACTTGGATTACTTAAATATAAGCAAAAAATGAATTTGTTTGAAACTATTCCTTAGATTTTAAAAAGCACGTATGCTGTAATCATTTCTTCCCTTCCAAAAAATTATTTCAAATGATATCAAATTTCTTCAATGTCTTCAGAAGTTTTCAACTTCTAAACATTTCAACTTTAACAATTATCGATCTCTTAATGCTGCAAACACACAAAAAATTAGAAAAAGATTAGATTGATTGAAGTAGAATGATAGAATAGTTTCAATAGCTACACTGTAAAAAAATTCCGGATCAAATTATGGTATAAATTGCTGGTACTTTGCATGCTTCATTCATAAAAACCATTTTTACCGTTACATATGTAGTAATTTTTACAAAATTTATTTTATTAGATTGACTCAGTGATTTTTCGGTAATACTGTAAAAATTACGATATATCAGGTTTTTTGTTCCGTTACATGGTCTGGCAAAAATGAATTTTACGGTAAAATGTACTGCAACCTAAATGCCGGTACTTTTTCCCAACAATCAGTTGCCCTGCAGCTCTATTGCCTGGCAACTTATTTTCTGGCAACTTATTTGCCCAACAGGCACTCTAGCTTGAAAGTTTACCTTCCAGATAGGTACATTTGCAGAACTGCTTATTTCCCCTACTAGTGTCAGACATTTGCCAGTTTGCTATTTACCCAACAGTTTATTTGTTCGATAGTGCATTTACCCGACAAAAAAATATCGAAAATATTAAGTTATTGACAGATATAAATGATTGGATTAATCATTAATTTTGGAAAATTACTAACTATGCGGTAAATCAAAAGACATCGTTCGTAGTAGGCATCATTCGCCAACTTTTGAAATTAATACGTTTAAAGAAAAAACAGAATTTCCACTATAATTGCAGATAGAGTCGTGGTGGCTCAGGGGATAGAGCGTTTGCCTTCAAATGAGGTGAACCGGGTTTGAATCTCAGCAATGACTGGTTGATTCGAATTCCAAACCCGGCTTGCACAAACGACAGTGCTGATGTAAGGTACCCTTAGTGGTAGACGGATCAAGGGTTAGAGTCCTCTTGCAGTCAGGCTAACCGTGGGAGGTTTTCCTGGTTTTTCTCACCATGTAACGCAAATGCAGTTCCATCAAAAAGTCCTCCACGAACTCAAATTTCTCCCAGTACTTGAGTCAGGAGCTCCCTTGTCTTCTGGATTGGGTTCAAAATTACAAGGCTGCGGAGTTGGACATTAGCAGTCGTAAACTCAATGAATCGGGTCGACTGTTCAACAACGGTAACAAAATAAGAACAAAATATTACTGTATATAGGAACAACTATGGATTATAGGATTTCAACTATGGATTATTTCCATGGTATTGCTTATAATGCTCCATTGTCATGTGAAAGCATAACAAAGAATTATGTAAAGCAAATAAAAATGCTTAAAAAAATCAATAAAGAAAGATTAAAAATAGAATTAAAAAAATTAAATAAAATAAAAAGAATAAAAAAAATTACAAAAAAATAAAAAGAGTAAAAAATCAAACAAATGAGTGCATACAAATTAAAGGAAAAAGGATTTAGAAAAAAAAAAACAAGCTTTTTAATGCTACTTAGAAATAGCTGGTGTTTCTGGAAGGTCCAAGGTCCCTTTGTAAGCAGTGGGAAAGTTTACAAGAAACACAGTTATTACATAAACAGCCATTAATATCGCACTTTCTTGCCATATGTAGCCCAGCCTTATTTAAAAAGTCGTTGCCAACAGAGAATCTTATACTCATTTCTCTTACATGTTAGCCCTATTTGCAAAACGTACTCATCGGGACAGTAAATTGTGTGAAAATGTACATGTCAGGAATTTAAATTGTCGGTTAAATATGCATGTCTAGGAAATGAGTTGTCTAGCAAACAATCCTGTCGGGGAAACGTAGTAGATCTTTTTGAATTGTTGGGCAATCGAACGTCAGGAAAAAGACCAAATCTAGCAATGACCATCTCTCTTTACCTCATTTTACAATCAATGTGAATTGAGTGTTAGAAAGCATTTATAATGTTTAAAATTATGAAAAAATTAAATTTTCCTAAGTATTTGCAATATTTCATTCATAAGCTTTTGTTATCGAAGTAAAGAACTCGCTAATTAAGTAATAATTTTTTTTCAGATCCTGATACATTGGCTCAGATTTCAAACTTATTAAAATGTCTCGAAATTCATCAAATTCAACGTTAATGGATCCCGATGAGCTTTTCTCATCTCTTGAAGCATTAGGACCGGAGATGCAGTTGTTTCTGGTGGTCCTGTACAGTTGTACTGCACTGGCTGCTCTAGGAGGAAACGCAGCTGCCATTGCTGTTTTGATGTCTGGAAAACGTCGGTCAATACGCTTGTTCTTGGTGAATTTGGCGCTATCTGACGTCACTATGGCAGTCTTTTCAATACCTTTCACATACACGGACTTCGTTCTAGGACGTTGGATATTTCTGCCAGAATTCTGTCCGGTTGTTCAATTTGTTCAGCATGTTTCCGTCTCTGTGTCTGTCTATACTCTAACTGTTGTTGGATTGGATAGGTGAGATTTTACTTCTTTTTCATTTTATGTACATAACATTTTCGATTATTAAAATCATAGGTATATTAATTTAAATAATATACTTAACATATATTCTGATATATAAATATAGAGTATTGACAGCAAAGTTTTCAAATTTAAAAAAAACAAAAACAAGTATATTGACTGCCAATGACATGTTTGGAATGCAACTGACTAATTAAATTACCAGCGTTGTGTCTTAATAAAGAAAATACTTTGTTATCTTTAATTACAAAACTATTTAAGGCACACTGAGAAAAAAATGGTCGAAACTACAAGAATAAGATGAAATTTGCAGTGTATCTAGCTGCATGAGAACACCCAAAGACTCAGTTATTATTACCGAAACTCTTTAGCAAATGATTTTGGTAAAAACAACAATAAAATATCACCAAAAATATTACCAAATTACCAAAAATAACAATAAAGAATTACCAAACTTTATCATAAATTACAATTTATGATGAAGTTTGGTAATTTTATCATGATACTAAACTTACTTTTCAGATTTGCGTTTTTACTAAATGTGAAATAATAAGAACTATTATTTTGAAAATCAGAATTCCCGGTAAGCGTTACCATAGGAACAAAAAATTTTCAATTGCATGGTTTAAATATTATAATTTGGTAAAATAACCAGAATTATGCTGTTGTTTTTTTTTTAACCAGAAATGTCATTACTATACAGTGCTGTAATTTAACCTTAATTTTTTTCTTCCTGAATAATTTCTGATTATCTTCAGTATGATTTTATGACCCCTCTCCCGGTTCGAATGTAACTATTTTTAAGGCCGCGTTTAGTATACCTACCTCTTCCTCAAGATTTTAATGTCCATGGTAAAATATTTTGCCACTTTTAATTTTGAGTTCAATATCCCTATACCACATAATAAGACTTTATAAGTGGTAAAAGAGCTTACCATGGGCATTTAAAAATTATTTAGACTGATGAGAAATATCCTGTACATGGTTTAAATGAAGGATAAGAACAAATTAAATTTGTTCGTTTTTATAGAATATAATAATGCACGGATTACTAAACCGGCCTCCCCGAAAGGAATAGTGATAGTAATTTACTCGTCACCACAATAGAGCACCCCGAGAGGTCGAAGGTCATCTAGCACACCCAGAGCATGTGGCTGAGCTGTGCATTTGTTTATGCATAATTAAATTTATTTATGCATAGATAAATAATAGTTGCATCAATTGTCTAATAATACAGCCCCAAGAATAAGAAAATTAAATGTAGAATTATATAAAAACAAATTAATACTATTAAAATTGTTGACATAGCCCCATAATATCATGTGCAAATCAACTCTGTGGGGATGGTAGCTATCGATCATATCAACCCTCATCTCTGAAATGTACCCAAACATAGAGTAGAGTTAACATGTCTTATATACTAGTGAATTGTAGTTGTAATATTGTAGTGGTAGATACGCTACAGCTCCATAATGTTTGTAATTATTTCAATTTCATATCAGATAATCTTTACATTTATTTCATCTATCAATAGCGAAATCATAGGCGAAAACAAATGATAAAGCAAAACCAACTCTAAAATTAGTCTGAATAATGTTAAATTAAATTTAAATTTATGGCTATATATGAAATATAACGGGTATAAAAAAAAGAAATCGAAATAATTAAGTTAATTACCGATTTAAAATAAACTATAAAGATGCAAACTGAATTAAGATCTTTTAATTGAAATCGAATAAAGATTAATTTTAATTTAAATTTCAAATTGATATGAGATTCTTAATTTAATTATAACTGAATTATTAATGTAAAATAATTTTTAATGACATAGGATACTGCAGCACTTTTTAAATATTTTTACTGTCAAAAACATTATTGAATTGCCATTAATATGAAAATTAATAGCATTTTTAGAATCCGTTTTTGAAATCGCGCCTATGATTTAATTTATAATTCAAACATAACTATAAGTTCTGAAAAGTTTTAATTTATAAGGCCAAATGAAGATTTCAATATATAAAGAGAATACCATACTTATTAATTTTTATTCAATAGCAAAGGAGTAAAAAGAAATAAAAAGAATGTTTGTGTTTTATTTTTTAATCATTTTTTTTAACTTATGGAAAATAATTTGTTATATTTGAAACTGTAGTGGGTAAAATATTATGTTCAAGCATTTTACCTAGTTAAATCTTTCTGAATGAGCTACAACAACCAATTCCAAAAAAATTTACCTGAAAGTCAGTTTGTTTTATNAACCACCAATAGTTTCCTATATCATTTATATTATGTTGCATGTGCATTATTTTATTTGTCACCTTTCACAGCATAAATTAAAATTTTTAACCCCTTAAAGTTAAAAGTTTAACCCTTTAGGTCTCTGCTCATTATTATTTTTACTCCTAAAATATCACTACTATTTTGATCAATAAAAAATATATCACAACTACGATAATATGTATAATTAACTATGTTTTAGTTGAATTTATGAACGGTTACGATTGACTCCGTAAGTGGGGACAATTGTAACAAGTGCACGACTGTCAAAAATTGTTAATAACTAATATAATAAAATTTAAAATAAGGTATTTATTTTCCTTCTAGTAGAGGATAGTCTACTTTACTCGTCTGTCAATTAATACTAATAATAAATTGGATTTTTTGTTAGTTAAAAATAGTTAAGTAAAAAATGTTACAATTGACCCCACTCTCCCCTATGGTTTGAATATTATAATTTGGTAAAATAACCAGAATTAAGTTGTTGTTTTTTACTAGAAATGTCATTACTATACAGTGCTGTAATTTTACATTAATTTTTTTCTTCCTGAATAATTTCCGAATATCTTAGCTCCACCTCCAGTTTTTAGCGTCCATGGTAAAATATTTTACCACTTTTAATTTTGAGTTCAATATCCCTATACCACATAATAAAACTTTATAAGTTGTAAAACAGCTTACCATGCGCATTTAAAAATTATTTAGATTAATGAGAAATATCCTGTACATGGTTTAAAGAAAGGATAAGAACAAATTAAATTTTTTTGAAGGGTACAAATCATTTTTGGAGAATATAATAATGCACGAATTACTAAACCGAGCTTCCCGGAAGGAATACTGATAGTAATTTACTCGTCAGCACGATAGAACACCCCGAGAGGTCGAAGGTCATCCAGCACACTCTGAGTATATGGACGAGCTGTGCATTTGCTTATGCATAATTAAATTTATTTATGCATAGATAAGTAATAGTTGCATCAATTGTCTAACAATACAGCCAAGAATACGAAAATTAAATGTAGAATTATATAAAAACAAATTAATACTATGAAAATCGTTGACATAGCTCCGTAATATCAAGTGAAAATTAGCTCCATAATGTTTGCAATTATTTCAATTTCATATCAGATAATCTTTACATTTATTTCCTCTATGAATAGCGAAATCAAAGGCGAAAACAAATGATAAAGCAAAACCAACCCTAAAATTAATCTGAATGATGTTAAATTAAATTTAAATTTATGGCTAGAAATGAAAAATAACGGGTATAACAAAAAAAATCGAAATAATTAAGTTAATTACCGTTTTAAAATAAACTATAAAGATGCAAACTGAATTAAGATCTTTAATTGAAATCGAATAAATATTAATTTTAATTTAAATTTCAAATTGGTATAAGATTTTTAATTTAATTATAATTGAATTATTAATGTAAAATCATTTTTAATGATATAGTATATCTACTGCTGCAGTTTTTTTTCCAAAAACATTAAAGAATTGTCATTAATATAAAAATTAATAGCATTTTTAGAGTCCATTTTTGTAATTGCTCCTATGATTTAATTTATAATTCAAACATAACTATAGGTTCTGAAAAGTTTTAATTTATAAGGTCAAATATTATTTAAGATTTCAGTATGTAAAGAAAATACCATGCTTATTCATTTTTAGTCTATAGAAAAGGAGTAAGAAGAAAGAAAGAAGAAATAAAAAGAATGTTTGTGATTATTTTTTATGAAATCATTTTTTTTTAACTTATGGGAAATAATCTATTATACTTGAAACTATATTGTGTAGGAAGTTATTTCAAGCATTCTAATTACTTAAATCTTTCTGAATGAGCTACAGCAACCGATTCCGAAAATATTTACCTGAAAACCATTTTGTTTTATGGATAATAATGCATCAAATTCTTTGAAATGTTGTATTATAGTGTTTTGATATCCCTGTATTTTTTAAAAATTTTTTACATGCTTAAAAAATCTTTTTTTTTGTTTTTGTTTCAAAATAAAATTTTGAATCTTATTATCATTCAGAATTCAGAATTCTACATTACATTATATTTCATCATTATTGTACATTATTATATACTAATCCGTTACATTCATTATTATTCCATTTACCATGTATGTTATAAAAACAAATTAGAACTTAAATAAACAATTATAGTATTGAAGGTACGAAGTTAAAAAATGTTGTTACTAGAAAAAAGACACACGACTCAGTAAAAAGTCATATGCCTGTTATCTGTATTTGTCGCTGATTCATTTTCGAAACTACAAACTGTTAAATTTTTTTGACTCACATTAAGTTTTTCGAAACGTAAGGACTATTAAATTTGTCAGTTTCAGGAAAAGTTCAGTATGTTAAGATAATTTTACACTTTTTGAAAAGGAAAAAATGAACTTTTGAGTAAAGAGAAAAACACTTGAACAAGTCTATTGATTTAAATTTTGTTGTTTAAAGATATAAAGCTTCCAAAATATTATCAATGACTTATTATTTATTGATTTTTTTGCTTTATCATACAATGTTTCCAATTTGTTATATTATATAGTTTCAGATATTCCTAGTTGACATCAACCAAAGTAATAAATGCATGGTTAAAGTTACACTAGTCTCAATGTGTGATAAAGTAATGATATGTATTGTGAGAAAAGTTACATATTTATCATAATGTGTAATAGGTGAAAACGGTACACATTTATCACAATGTG